AGGATGGCACATTCAGGTGGCCAAAACAGAGAGACACTGACATAGTCAGCCATAGATATATCTTCACACATGCAAGAGTGCAGAAAGTTGGTAATTGTTTTGTTGTTAGTTACCTTGAGAGTATTGATCACAAGTGTAAAACATATCAAGAAATTTACATGAATGCTGTTACATACATAGACATTATAATAACTGTCCATAACATTTTACACATGATATTAGACGAAGGAAATGATATTTGAAGTTTAGACAAAAATACATCAAGCCAGTGAGTATATTTTCAATAATTTGGTCCAAATATTTTTCACATCAAATTTATTATATACCTTCAGAAATATAGGAGCAGAATCTGTCTCCACAAGGAAAATCAGTGATATCAAAATAGAGCTAAAAATCATTAACATCTTAATTTTATGCAGAAAATTTCATACCAATTTTTTTTATTTAAGAAAGTGTAAACTGAATTATCACAATTTTGGAATCCTAAAGTAATATTTATGTACAGCTGGTGAAACAAAATAAACTATCAGAGAATCCAAACTTCTGGTCATGTCTTTCATGTGTGTGTGCTTGTACAACAGGACCAAGAAGTTTCACAGATAGGTTAGTTCTTCAGTGTATAATTTAAGTGATAGTGTATGTATTACAGTTATGGTATACTGCAAGCTATACACTGTAGTACAGTCTTTGGTACAAGAAAAGTGAAGAATTTTTAATTCCAAATTCATAGGGTTTTCAAAGAATTTTCATGGTGCTTGCATATTCCTAACAACCCCATGAAAACTAACTGGCAATTAACTTTCATGTGCCATGAAAAAACCATGTAGAGGCCATGAAAATTCAAGGAAAATTTTCATGGTCAATGAATTTTTAACATATTCACAGGATATTCATGGGTCATGATTTGCTGCAACCCATTAAAAACTAGTGAACTTTGACACCATGAAATTTTGGGCTTGAAATTCATGGGTTTCTCAGTACCTTTGAAAAGGCCATGAAATGCCATTTTCATGGGTATTTCATGGCTTCTAGGTCACTTTACTCAATATTTCATGGGTCATGAATATGGAAATTTTCACAGGTTTTTCATGAGATTTTTCAGGTCTTTTTCATGGCACCTAGACCATGAAAATGTCATTGATTTAACCATGAATATCCTGTGAAAAATCTGTGAATTTACGATGAATTATTTCACAAGATTTTCATGGGTTTTGAGTTCATAGTGATACCAAATTCCAAAGAATAAAAGGTGTAATAAAGTTTCCTGCAGAGTGTTGACATTCCTGGCGGACCTGCTGCATTGCAATTGAATCTGTCACATTCCCCAAAACATTGAGAAATAAGAGTCTCCATGAAACGGTCATAAAGAGAAATCACTTTGTGCCAAATCCAATAGAAAGCCTGGCCCAAAGAAATCAAGGAAAGATGATTTTGATGAAGCGAAAAATGTCTGACCTTTCTCTTTGCTTCTCTTGGAGAGTTTTTGGACTTCGTTTAACCCATTTGACCCATTCGTTTCCGTCACAAGATGACCTTTACCTCGAATTTTCATGGATCTCTTCGCCACGAGTTTGGCCAAGGAGTTTAATATTGCCTTTCATTGGTTGGTGCCATTACCGCATCGACGCACACTTAAATGAAGTGCGAAAACTATGAATTTTTTTGAGGTTGAAGACTTAAGGTTTGTTTTTACGCAAGTTTGCCTCTACTTAAACAAATTAATAGTGTATGTAGTTTTTTCGGATTTTGATGAAACTTGGCCAGAATATTCTTCAGATATTGATGCACAAGAGGGTGCTATGTTTTGATGAAATTCTAAATATTTTTCCTGTGTGATTTCCCGAATTATGCCAACAACTTAATTATTTCTTAGGGAGCTGAGGGAAAGCTTGGTGTCAAGATACCGTGAGGGATGACGGGAATAAGATGAGAAAAAGAAATCAAGGGTCACTTGCCAAAAATGGTGCACCTGGAATTATGGGAATAAAGGAGATAAAGGTCATGAAGGGTCACGTGGCAGCAGTGGACCGCCAGCAATCAAGGGTGTGAAAGGGGAGCAGGGATCTAAAGGAGAGAAAGGAGAAATCGTGAAGAGTGCAGTGTCACAGACCAACTGGAAACAGTGTGTGGAAAAATGATGATCGTATATCACGAAAATCTTCAATTTATTCCCTGTATTACCATCATAGGAAATATCTCTGCTTTAATAGTGTTTTCTTGTTGTTTTCTTTTGGTTGTTGTTCCCACCAATCTGTATTTATTTTTTCCCTCCAGAAATCCAATTTTTGCTTACAGATTTTCTGGGATTCCTGGATTGAATGGCATATCAGAGCTAAGGGGGAGCCTGGTGTCAAGGGACCGTGGTGACCGTGGTGCACCTGGAACAATAGGATTAAAAGGAGATAAATGTATTGTAGGTTGTTCACGTGGCAGATGCTTTTGAAACTCTTTACACTGGTAAATTTACGTTATCAGTTCAGCTGATAAAACCAAATAATCCTGCAATACCCCTCACCGACGCAGTACGACAGTTACAGAATTACCCGCTTTGAACATCTAAGGGCTTGGCTACTTTTTACTGCTGCATTTTCTGATAAAAAATTGTGATATTTTAAAAAGGGGTCAAGCTAACGAATTCTATCACCTACGTCCTAAATCAAACACGTTATTACGCCAGTTTAATAAGACGCTCAGTTAGAAAAGTATTTGAACATATATGAAATAGCTTGAGGAAACTGCGTACTCCAAAATCTTCTTATCTTATGTAACTTGTCTTGCTGCTACAACTCTAAGCCTAACTAACCCTCACTAGCTACTATCAAAAAGATATGCAAAGATATTCTCACGTAATGGTGTTTTCTTAACCCTGGAAGTTGACACAACAACTGTGCACCATGCGAGATAGCGACATATAAGAATGTGTAATAATCTGAAGCATTCAAGGCGGCTCACATTCTAGAGATAAGCTACGTTATCCGAAAAAACAGATCTGACCCTAAGGCCGATAAGAAACCTTTAAGTCTTGTAGAAAAATAAAACACCCAAAATAGTGGTAATTCTATCTCGTCACCACTGCCCCAGGGATCCCATGAGATTGCCTAGCGCATGCGCAACATCAGTGCCTTTTTGCGCGCGATATCAGTTTAGCCGTGTTTCTCTCTCCGGTGAGAAAGACGATTATATTTGGAAGTTTCTTGGAGGTTTTTTCGTTTCCAAAGTTCTAAAACGACACGACAAGTATCAGAAGACATGGCTCTGTCAGGGGAATCCAGCACGGTGGACTTAGCCCGCGAGACAACCGAGGTTAACATGGTGGCGGTCCTGCAAGGTCTTTAGACGACGCTAGCACACCTCGCCAAGAACTCGGAACTGCAAACAGAAGCCATTCAGAATTTGAAGGAGGAGTTTCTTCTCTGCTCTGGCGACGAAGATACTGAAGATACATCTGCGATGGATGATAATACGAGTGATAATGCGCTAGATATAGCGGCCACTCTCAACAATGTGCTCGACTCGGGCGACCACAGCGAGACGGCCTCTGTGAAGAGCCCTGAATCAGGGTCTCAGAGCGCATTGGTAGACAGCCTGACCCAGGCGTTTACCACATCTAAAGTCACATCCCCTGCAATTGAAGGCAAAATTGCCGAATTAATCGATAATATGCTTATCGGGGGATTATCGGCCGAAACGGTCAAGGAAAGAGTGGAGAAACATCCACCGCCAGAAAACTGCAAATTCCTGGCCGTGACAATGGTGAACGAAGAAATCTGGGACTTGTTGCTCAGAAAAAGCCGAACTGTGGATTTGGCTTTCCAGCGGGTTCAGGAACCCTTGTTACAAGGAATATCAGCCCTGACCAAATTGGCGGGCAAATTGGTGAAAGACATCAATGATGGCAAAACGCCAGACACTCGGCCTGTGCTAGATCATCTGATGGATAGTGTCGCAATGCTGGGAAACACAAATTGGAAGCTTAACATGAAGCGAAGAGAACTGATTAAGCCTGAGCTTAATCCCCCATACACACGTTTATGTAAAGAGGATATAACTTTATCCACAAAATTGTTTGGAGACGATCTAGCCAAACACTTGAAAGATATGTCAGAAGCCAAAAAAGCAGGGCAGCAGATGCAAAAGCCTTATCCCAACAGCTCCAACCGGGGTGCAGTGCACTCTCAAAAAAGGAATTTTAGCAGATTCAAGCCTTATCATTATGACCGGACACGAGGCTCTGGCAATAAATCAACCAACCGCCAGCCTTTTTTGGGGCAAGGCTGCCCATCAGCACCG